ATTGTATTTTGTTATTGCCTTTTTACCTTGTCACGTAACGTTATTTCAATAGATATCTAGACTTGTTTACCATTCAAGGTCCTTTACGTCTGAACTTTATCCAAATCAGCCCACCTCGGCTTGCTCCATTTATTGTGGAGGAGCAATGGCTCCATGAAGAATCTGAATTTGATTTTGTCCCAAAGCTCATGACAAATGTAGGAGTAGGAACATAGACTGACAGATATATCAAGGATCATGCTCTTACAGCTCAGCACCTTCTTTGTCACTACAGTCCAGTGCGATGTATGGCACTTTTAATGATGCTTTTTTTTTTTCCACAGTGTCATCTTAATACTTTTTCTTCTATGTAGTCTTTATATGTCAAGCCCGGATTCCATCCACTGTAGTGTTGCCACAAGATTATAAAAATCTAATTGCAACTTCTCAGAAAAGCATTGCAATTTTTATTACATTGCAATGTATGTTTTAATAATATGAACACATCCAGCATAACAGACAAAAAGATTGAAATATGAACTGACAAACTAATAGAAAAATCACATTTTAGAATATAAGTACAGCTCTAAACTACAGGGTTAGCAGTTTTTATGCAGTATAAGATGGGGTAGTTTGTTGTTTGTGGAGGAATTTATGGTACTTCAAAAACTGTGTCCTTTGCGATTAGTTAATTGCATCTATTCACATTTCAATATGATTGTGATCAATCTTGCTGGCCTAATCTGAGTTCTGATGCATTATTAACTGTACATTGCACATGTTAATTCCCTCTGGTGTTGTTTCATCAGGAGTGCACTGTCCCTGGTCTGCAGACAGACTCTGAGTGGCCACAGACAGTCTCCTTATGTCCGGGCGTAACGGGTCTGCAAGTGATGCAGACTGTCAGATCTGTGAGGACCGCGACCAGGACATGGAGCTGATGGAGCTGGGGCCACTGCTGGAGGAGGGTGGAGCCAGGGGAGGGGCCTCAGAGGTACGGGATCTGGATATTAAAATATATTTGTTTGCATACTATATGGTGTTGTCACAATCCTAATAATTGATATAAAGTGTCCTTTGTGTTTTAGACAACAAAATATACACTTTATTGTGCCCTCTCAGGTCCCATCATGCATCAAAACAGATTATCTTTTTTTCCATTTCTAGCTTTCGATCTGAACCTTTTTTTAGTTATTTTAGTAACTTTGTTTTCAGGACTGTAGTGGTACTTCTAAATGGCATGCCGGCTTATTCATGTGGGGGTTTTATGAAGTTAAAAGCCAATCAAATGTAAACTGCTTTTACGCTTACATAAAACCATTTGAAATGTCCAACACCAGTGCCTGTTTTTTTCTTTGAAGGGAGCGGCCGCTCTCGTGGACGATGATGACGATGATGAAGTCGGGGAGGTGCTAACGTTGCCTCTTCAGGCTCATCACGCCATGGAGAAGATGGAGGAGTTTGTGCATAAGGTGAGACCAGACAACCGCTGTTTTTAATGGTGTGAGGGGGGTTTGTTTTTCATTGTGTTGATGAAGATAAGACTTGCGCTTTGCAATTGATTTCATTAAAGTGTTAAGGTTTAATAAGTCTGTTCTTATGGTATGCTAATTAGTCACTGTATCTTTAGAAATATTATGAATTGCCAACAAAATAAGTGTTTCTTAGATTAGTGGTTCTTAATCCTTTCACACCATGTACCACTTAAGAGTGGTCTTTTCAGGATCATCAAGGATCTAAAACTGAACTTTTCCAGGCCTGTACTAAGGCAGATCAGATTGAAAATAGAACTACAACATGATTACAGTGATTCTAAACATGAAATTACTGAAAGGCGGACGAAGATATGAATAAATTGAACTAAAATAAGCATGTACAGGATCTTGCAGACTACATGTAGGAGCCCACACACCACAGTGAGAGACACACTGCCCCCCTCCTTATTGTTGCCATGAATAGAGCTTTAATTGCATGTAGTGTCTATTAAGACTAGATCAAATCCAATTAAGATATGACTATTTGCAGTTATTGACCATACGGTTAAGGGTTTGTTCAGAGATGATTGGTGGGTTTCAGATTCATTCCCAGATGAGTGCAAGAGACAGATTTATATATTGATTACATTATACTTGACTATGAAATGTCTAAAAGGTAATGTTGATCCTGATGATTTCTATTTCTGACTAGACCCTAAAACTCACAAACATAAATCTGCATTTTAACAACATTAATTATAGCTGTCCCCATCTGTATTAAGTATTATTGATATAATGATTTGAAGTCATCTGAAACCCAGCAATTAATAGGTTTTTAATAGACCCCATGCCTGAATATTTAGAACATTGTATTGCCTTTAGCAGATATGACAAATGGAGTTTAAATGACTACTGATTGCCACAAGCAGTAATAACTCTTATCTATCGCAGTTTGATAGCTGCAATTACTGTTGATAATGTGATTTGCGTGCACTTGAGATTATTAATGTCACTAATTTGTAATCGCTGCAACAATTATTTCCTGACATACATTTTTAAAGTGCTTTTACATAACTGCAAGGGTGGAAAATGGCATCCATCTTGAAACTTAGTAAGCAGTCGCAAACCTGTTAAAACATGTCCTTTATGTTCAGCTGTTTACTGTCCAAACTTGTTTTTCCAATGTGATGGTCAAACAAGTCAAACACTGACGCTGCACGATTATGGGATAAGAATTGCAATTTGTCCATCATGCTTTTTTTATGACAGATTTGTTATTTATTTTTTTAAAGGGTTTAGTTCAGTTAATTTTAAACAGTTTCTATAGCGTTAACATTTTAGAAGACAGATATATGAACTCTTAAACTAATGCATACAATCACTTATGCTTATTTTATTTTATAGCTTTGGCTAATCCTAAAAACTAACTAGGCCATTCAAAAGGGCACTGCCTAAAGATTTAATAGAGGCAATAAATAAAAAGCCAAATTGAGGTTCATATTTATTTGTTTCAAGATTCACCTGAAACCAATGCAGAGTGTGTCAGTATTATTTTTAAGTGTTTTCTTTAACTGTCATTTAAAAAAAAAAATCTGAACATTTCCCTGTCCGTCAGGTTTTGTTACATATTCCAGTGTGTTGGGGAAGCATAAATATTGCAGTAGTTTGTCATAGGATCTGAAACTCAAAACTCAGTCAGTGCAGAGGGTTAACAGTAATGTATGTACAGGAAGGGGGTTTTATATTTAGTGTGACCCTATATTTACTACTCTACTGTTTCGAAAGAAACGTTTAAAGGTCCCATATTACACTACATTGATTCTTGAATGTTGTTACCTCATACCTCAAAAACATATTTGAAATAGTGTTTTGTTTCATTCACACATGTTTGAGTAATCCTGGTTTATTAGTCTGTCACCGTGTCCAAGGCTCAAAATGCTCTGTTCCACCTTGTGATGTCATAGAGTGGTAGTTTTCAAGTTAACAGCTCCTTTTACCTTTAGTCCAGTGGACATCAGCAATTCTAGTGCTGTAATCATTCCAATGTTTCTATTGAGGCTGTATGGATTTAAAAAATACAGTAGAGTGCTTCCTGCATTATCACATGACATCACAAGGTGGAACTGAGTGTTTTCTGTTTGAGAGAAGAACTCATCCTAAATATTCAGGCATGTTTGTGTGTTAAACATGTGTTGTGATGAAGAAACAACATTATAACATACTGTAGATCAGGACATAACATAATATGGGCCCTTTAAACTTATGATCCACAAATGTTGAACCTTGTTATTATTAATTTGGGATTGGATGTACAAACCTCCCATGGTAATCTTATGGCTTTCAATTCTTTCAGCTGACAACAATAACATCTTTAGGGTTGAATAACTGTACCACTTTCTGAAGCTACAGTGAAAACACAATTTGTGCTAGTTTTTGTTTCATGTGAATAGCTCTGGCATTTACAGAGATTTTAACCATTAACTGTCAGATTGCAGATTTGTTGAACTAGTTTAACAGCAACACCATAGAATTCTGCCCTTCTTTCCAGCTCAGTTTTAAACTATAAAGATTCTACAATGGAATGTCATATGCAAACAACTTCTTTATTAACAACAAACATCTGCATTTTAACATTATTCAGGGTTAATAGGTCCAGTCACTAACAGAAATCATCAGGTTCAATATTTGTGAATTTACCTTTTGGATATCTCATAACAAAATAAAATGTAATCAATCAGAAAATCTGTCTCCACAAATTGAGTGTGAGAGGGGTGCTAAATCCCATTTTGTTTGTCTAGGTTTGGGAGGGGCGCTGGCGGGTCATCCCTTTCCATGTGCTTCCCGAGTGGCTGAAGGACAATGATTACCTGCTGCACGGTCACAGGCCCCCCATGCCCTCCTTCAGAGCCTGCTTCGGGAGCATCTTCAGGATCCACACTGAGACCGGAAACATATGGACTCATCTATTAGGTAATACACAACTAACTTGACTGATGTGCTGTACTTCATTTTTATTGTCTAAAAAATGTCAAAAACCCAATTAGTTAATTTAAACAGTTTGCAGTAGTTTAAAATATGGTGACTGAAGGAGAAGAAACAATTTTGACATTTTTATTTAATATTGTTGCTGTCTTTGTGAAAACCTCATATCGGTTGATCACTGTTACATACGTCTGAACACTGTAGTTCTGATAATGGTATTGCAAATATGTATTCAGTATGATCCGTCTCTCCTCAGGTCTGATCCTGTTCCTCTGCCTGGGCACGCTCACCATGTTCAGGCCAAACATGTACTTCATGGCACCTCTGCAGGAGAAGGTGGTGTTTGGGATGTTCTTTTTGGGGGCCGTGCTCTGCCTCAGCTTCTCTTGGCTGTTCCACACCGTCTACTGCCACTCGGAGAAGGTCTCACGCACTTTCTCCAAGTAAGGACCAGGAAAATATGCTCTCACAAGTTTAACACTGCTACTAAGGCTGGCTTTTTCTTTCCATACCAGTTAGATTTGTGCTATATTGGGAGTCCAAACACAGAAAATGTATTAAAATAAATGTATTACATTTACTTTGGTACAATTTACAAATTATATTGTGTAATTCAAGTTCAAAGGTCAGGTTTTCATGCATTTCAGGTATTTTGATTTTTTATGAAAATGTGATTACAATTTTTGATCCCCTTTAATTATCTTTAGTTGATTATATAAGTTATAAAATGACTACAAGTTTTATGTGAAGTTCAGATTTCTTCAAGTGAAAGCCTTCATTTCCCTATATTCAAAAGCAAAGGTTCCTAGGCTAAGCTTCCTACTTGTTTAACTTCTCCTGCAATATTTGTTTATGTTATAATGAGCCTCCAGGTTGGCAGTTTGATCCCTGCTCAGACTATTACACACACTTGTATATGAATGAATGTGATATGTAAATTAGGGCTCTAAGAATAATCGCAATTAGACTGGACACAAATAGCCAGCGAAAAGTCTAGAATTTTTGAGTACCATAATTTTCTCCATAAAATCTACTAACCCTGTAGTTTAGATGTGGTAATTCTTCTGAACTTTGAACAGAATCCTGTTATTAAAGCATTAATTGTACATTAATGGATATTTTTCCCAAATTATGCAATTTTCCAAATGCATAAGTGAATGATGGTAGAGGATAACTATGTCTAAACCCCTGTATGCTTCCAAAAAAGAATAGAGATTTCTTAGAGTTCACACATTTCTGCTTGCTTTGAAAAGTCTTTATTTGACTGTATTCTGCATGATCAAATCTGTTTAACTCTCCCTCTTGTTGTAGACTGGATTACTCGGGCATTGCTCTTCTGATCATGGGCTCCTTTGTTCCGTGGCTGTATTACTCGTTCTACTGCTCTCCTCAGCCACGCCTCATCTACCTCTCCGTCGTCTGCGTCCTCGGCATTGCTGCCATCGTTGTGGCGCAGTGGGACCGCTTCTCCACACCCAGGCACCGGCCCACCAGAGCAGGTACAGCTTTAGCCAAACCAATCCTTGGTTGACTAAAGATATGTCCTGCCAAATGATTAATCAGCTAAAAAGGGGCCTTGGCCAAAGGTCTTTTGTATACCTCTATGTATCTGGCCCAGACTGCATCAATGGATCTTTCTGCATTACTGATTCTTGCAAAAACAACCATTAATGTAGAAAAAAGTACTGATGAAAATATAGTGGTTAAACAACAGTATTGAATGCCTTTATGCCACTGACACAATAGCCCAAAAGCGGGATTACCCCTCAAAATATATTGGCAATATTATTAATGGAACATGAGCTGCAGTAAATACATTGAACATGTAATGACTTGTAGAAGTTATTTATTCAACCCTCTACACCTCAAATCTGATTAGAGAACAGAAAAGCAACAAAACATTCTTTACTAATACAAAGAAAAACTAGACCCCCACAATATTTGGAGGGGCAAATTTCTCTGGGAATGTCACTTTTTTTTAAAGAAATCTCAAAGCACTGTGAGGAATACATTGTGTTATCTAGTTTAAAATTGACAGTTAAACAGCTAATACCATTATAGAATTCTGACCTGTCCTCTCCAGCTCAGATTGCAGATGTGTTGATCTGGTTTATGGTTAATATCTGTAATTACTGTAATTACTTTGCCTATTCAAATCCACTGTTGTGTATGTTCTAGTTTTAACATTCACATTTATCTGACCATCCTCCAGGAGTGTTCATGGGCCTGGGTCTCAGTGGGATTGTACCCACGATGCACTTCACCATTGAGGAGGGGTTTGTCAAGGCGACCACGGTGGGGCAGATGGGCTGGTTCTACCTAATGGGGGCGATGTACATCACTGGAGCCGGTTTGTACGCGGCCAGGATCCCAGAGAGATTCTTCCCCGGAAAGTGTGACATCTGGGTATGTATTCAATATCTATATCTATATGTCTATATGTCTCAAGTTTAGGGTTTAGATTCAGCCTCAAATGGGGAGGAAGGTAGAGACTGTTCTCAAAAAATGGATAGCAGATAATGAAGTAGTGATACTGAAAAAAAAAATCACAAATTGGACCAAATTTTCCTTAATAGTTTTTGAATGGTCTTTATCCGTGTTATAACTTTTAGTTTTAGTTTAAACTTATATTGTGACACCCAAATTTACCAGTACATAAAAAACCTTCATGGGCCCTATGGGTTGGGTCTATGAGTGGGGGTATGAGTTTTCGATGGTTTCAGAAAAGTTCTGAAAAGTTTGGAATAGCAATAGGCTCTTTGCAGTACCAATAGGCTCTGTGCACATCAGCTGCTTGCCATGTCTCAAAGCTAACAGTTACTTTTATTAAAATGTGAAAACATAAAATAAACAACTTATTAAAATTATTTAATTAAAATGAATTAAAATAAAAACTACACAATTATTTTTATATTTGAAATACATTTCACATATAAAAAGTCATATATAGTTTGTGGCGTAATATTTATTATACCTCAAAATTAGCATTAGTGTTAGCATTGAGACATAGACATCTCTCTAAATACAGAAGTGTTCTTCAGTGAAGTATTCATTTTATTTGTGTACTTTTTAACATATTGTCAGTGACAGCCATCTGCAGGTCCCTGTGCACTGCCTTATCTTTAAATATTTATTCATTTTAGTATGACTAAGTAAAAAGCCCATAGACACACATTGGATTGGAAATAGTGACCCTAACAGTGAGGTTGCCAGGTGCTGTTGTGCACAGAGCCTATTTACAGTTATAAACGGCATATCTTTTGAACCGTCTTCAAAATGTAACCAAAATATAACAGGAAGCTGAAACCCAGGAACATTGGTTGTTGACAATACTTGCCTTTGTACTCACCACTCACGTTCCCCTCACCTGTGTGTCTCTCTGTCTTCTCTCTCGTTGCAGTTCCACTCTCATCAGATTTTCCACGTTCTGGTCGTTGCCGCAGCATTCATTCATTTCTATGGCGTCTCGAACCTTCAGGAGTTTCGTTACGGACTCGAGGGCGGCTGCACGGACGATACTTTACTTTGAGCGACTGTGACCTCACCTCATCACAACGCACACTAACCATTTCATTACAGCACACATCAGGGCCTGACATTAAAATGCACTGTGGAACTTTTCACGTGGAGGGTCAGCCACCTGCTTGTCACCATGGAGATGTTATTGCTTTGCCTCTAATGCCCCACAGTATGGCATTAAACTTGTGTGTTTATTCAATTCCATACATTTTTATTGCCAGTAAATACTTGTCTGGGTGACCTGCTTGTCTCCATTGATAATGATACTGTAAGTGTAATGCCATACTATGCAACATTCTCTTAGCAAAGCAATGACCTCTCCATAGAGATGAGACCGTGGTGGACCATAACAATAGCCAAATGCTGGTATTATGAATTTTGGCTACTGACACATTCAGTCCCACTAGTCACTTTGGCCACTTGAAACCTGACCTCTACTGTATATTCTGTATACTACTATCTAAGCCATATTTAAAAACTCAAAAAATTGATCCCTGTACAGACACTGAATCTTTTTGCTCCCAACTAATGGCTTATAGTCTAAACTAGGAATTGGTGATATGGGAAGATCTAGTCTATTATTGCTACCAGTGAATGATTGGATTTTCCACAGATATTGGCATTGGCTCGATATAAAAAATGTAGCCGATATTTGGCACCAATAATTTTTCTTTGCCCGTCTTTTTGAGCCCATATGTCATTCCCAATTAGTTCTAAAAGACAAATCTGATGCACTGAGGACTGTGATTAATGCATAAACCTGGAAAGAGCAGTTGAACTCAAACAATTATGCAACAAATAATTTTATATACAAGTTATTTTGTGAATTTAACTTATAACTTGGTAAGCCTGTGGACTTTGCAATGGATTTGAAACTGTTCATATCGATATCTACAAATATCGGTTACTGGCCACAGCTGCAAGAAAAATATCCGTATTGGCTCAAATAATCCATAACATCCCATCCCAAACAAAGATTTTATTATATATAAATTAGACACCAAGTGACATTACAACCATTACAGCCTACCTTAACATACCTTAATTATATCTTGGTCAGTAACTTTTCAAACATATTAGCCATAGTGGCCAGTGGACTCAAGAGTTAATGTCATGCCCTTATTTTACATATAGGCAAACATGCATACATAAAACATACAATCTCAAATACTCAAATCCACTCACGATGCTGCTGGAACTTCCATGTCCTCCTCTATCCCACACTCCTACGTTCCTCTAGATTTTGTTGTTTATTTTGTTCCTTTTTTAAATAATCAAAGTCAGAAAGTAGCATTACACTCCTTCAAAGGACTTCTGAAACTTGAAGTCATTGGTCAAATAAATACCCAGATGTCTTCTCAACCTACTGTTTCAAAATCTTGTTACTGCTGGACAAAAGGCACAATCTCTAGTCCATATTTTCTTCCACAATCATACTAAAAACTAAATATTTATGCGAATGAGAAATACTTTGAGAAGATTTGATGGAAAAAGGAAAATCTTTTGAATAATAAGCAATTTTATAATTTAACATGAAGTTGTTAAGTTTCATTTGCTTTATTCTCAAAATGATGAATTCTTTCAGCTAAGGAACTACCATACTGTAAGTCATACTCTGTAAAGTAGCAGCTCACTTCAGGTTAATTGATTTTTGCGTGTCAAATTATTATTAATTTCTAGAATAGTTCCTAAGCTTTGCACAATGTACAGTTCTGACCCAACCCTTTGTGGCTTTGTGGAAATTCGGTTTTGTGCTAGAGATGTAGACACAGGTGTAATTATCCGAGGCACCTTGCGCTTTTTAAACCTGGACTTTTATTCTTCCTGTGCCTTAGGCCGATGGAAATGTTTTTAACAAAATGGCCGACACTTAGACGAGCCTCAGATCCTTCTTTTTCTCTCCATAACTTTCGACTCAATCATTTCCTAAAATCCAGTCTTAGGTTGTATCAACTGCTGTTTAAAAAAATCCTTTTTCTAGATTTGAGCTTTATTACTAAAACATGTGTATTCTTTGTGTACTGTTCCGTGTAGGTTATAATTCATACATTTCTCTGAAATGTAAACCTAAATATTTATTAATGGTAATCTTGGAAAATATTGTAATAAATCTTTTCCACATGTATTTCTGTGGTCTTTTATTATCAAGGTCAAGGTTTATTTATATAGCACATTTAATAACAGTGTGGCCCCAAAGTGCTTGACATTTTAGATGAAAACAATAGCAAGATAAAGTAAACTCCAGCTGAGCAAAGTTAAGTCAGCCATCAATCAGCTAATACAAAAAAAGTGCTTTTATAGCACTTTTAAAAAATGAATTATATTGTAACTATATTCCAGGGGTGTCCAAACTTTTTACATCAAGGGCTACATATCTAAATACGTCTGAATGATCCATCAGTCTTTATTCACGCTAAGATCCTTAAAACCACACACTAAATGTTAAATATTAGCTCGATCGAGGTAGATTTTCAAAAAACTTGCATTAAAAGGTTAATTTTTAATTGATGCAAGGTAATCTGGGCCAATTCTCCTGGAAGACTGAGGGCCAAGAAAAATTTGTCTGAGGGCCGCATTTGGCCCACGGCCCATAGTTTGGACATGTCTGCTATATTCATACCATAATGAGATTGGCAATAAAAAAAATAATATATTTTGAGTATTTGTCACAGTTTTACTTCTTACTCACTTATTTTTTACCCATATTTTAATTTGCTTGCATCCACTATACTGCTACTATACACTATAATAAACTTAATTCTCTTTTCATTACTGCCCTTCACATTAATCCAAGTTGGCACTTAAAAACATGTCTAATGCTGCCCTCTGGCAGTTCAGCGATGAGAACTACAGAACCCGGAACTGTAGAAACGTACGTGTCCCTGTTTCTGACCGGGCGGATTTTCTGTTGCAAACTCACTCATCGTTTGTTGCAGCAGCGGCTTTTTCCCTAATGTACCTTTTGTTTTCATCCTTTTCATCGGTTCAACAAGGTTATTTTTAAGGTACAGTTTTACGTAATATTTGAATTAATCTTCAGTTGTTTTTAGTGTTTTTTGTGGTATTTGCTTGCTTCGTTGCATGCCAATTATGCTGTACTAGACATGGCTTCAGCCTTTTAATTAAACGAGCGTTATCTTTAAAGCTGTTATTTACAGTCCTTAGATCTATAGAAAATGTGTTAAGTTGGCATTATAATATAGGGTCAGTATTAATCAAATTTTAAAATACAGGCCTAGTTAGTCAGATACTGTAAGCCGAGTAGTAGTAGTCGGTCAGTAGTAGTAGCACTTTGTCCATGTCATTGCTGAGTTCTGTTGTTGATATTCGTTTGTTTTACAGTAAAATGGATGCCAGTGAGCAGTCTAAAGAAAGCCCGGAGCGGTCAGAGCTTGTGTCAGAGGACGGAAAGAACATAAAGGCGGTTTTGTGTCAGCGCTGCGGATCCAAAGTGTTGTGTCCTGGGATGGCTGTGTTTGCAGAGAAAGAGGTGAGAGAATGACAATGAAATTCATTATTTAACGTGGTAGGTTATTAGCTCTCTTTTTATAGCTACAACTAAATCAGTATTATAGTTGTTATATGTGAGATGCTCAACTCCAATTTATTTGGCATTGCCATTAAGAGATCAACTGCGAAAACCTACATATATCATATATTTTACTGTAGCCTAGGGTGACCGGACGTCCCTATTTTCCTGGGGCAGTCCCAGTTTTGAGCTCTTTTCCCCTGTCCCAGTTGATTTATCCAAACCCTATTTTTTAACCAATTTGACACCTGCCAACAGTAAAGAGACAAATATATTGTCATTTATTTAGGTGAAATACAGAAAAGCTGCTTAAAAATGAAAAGAAAATGTGACTATACTAGCCCAAATGTTAGTTGTGAATGGGCCGAATACATATAAATTTTCCTTAATTACACAGTCGATTCACAATTTTATTATTACCAACCATCACAAACCAGGGTGTCCTAGTTTTTTGAAAATCTCGTCACCCTACTGTAGCCTGCTGGAAAGATACTGAAACTCGTAAAGTGCACCATACTGATTCTACAAATTCTTGTTTTGGTAAGGGAATATCCAGACATTTGATCACTTTTGGGGGGTTGGTTCAATGATTGCACCATTCCATTATGATTATTGCAATCTAAAGGCAAGTTAATTAAAAAGAAAAAGTTTGTTGCGATTGTTCTCTAGATATCTTTTGGTATTTTGAATCTTAAACCTTACCATATGAAATCTTGTCCCATGAATGAATGAATGATTGATCGATTGAAACCTTTATTGCTCCTCTGATTAATTAAATTTATTATTAAGAATTAAAAAATGCAGTACCCAAACTCAGACAAAATCTCTCCTTCTCTCCCCAGCTCTTCCTCCCATCAATGCGTAAAAAGTCTGGTACTTTTGGCTCGGACGGTTCAGACGGAGACACACTCACATCTTTCTGGTTGGTCCACGACATGTTTGATTTTGAAAACGTGGGGTTCACAAACGACGTTGGACGCATCAAATACCTGATCTGTGCGGACTGTGAGATCGGACCCATCGGCTGGCACTGTCTGGACGACAAAAAGAGCTACTACATCGCCATGGAGCGGGTCAATCATGAATAACTGTGTAATCAACAAGGAACTACTTTTTAAAAATACGTTTGACTATGCATCTTTCTTTGGACTATTTGATGCTCTATCTTCTTTCATGCAAAAACTCTGATCCCTCTTGTAAAAAATTAAACAATGTAAGTACAATATAAAAAAACACCACAAACCTTGAATCAATCATTTACAAATATTTAGCTCTGAAAGTTCCACGGTGGATAAAAGTTGGATGAATAAGTCTTAAATGCACTGTACCTGATTTTTACTGTATTAAAAAAACATGAAAACAAGACTAGTTCATTTTTAAAGGTGTGCAATCATGAGTTTATAAGCGCTTTTCACAATACAGTAAAACACTTTATAATTAGATGCAGACAGTACATAGCAGGATAGTTTTGACCTTGAAAGCTGCTTATACAACATATGTGTACTGAGGCAAAACTAATTTGGCAAAAATACATGGAAAAAATCAGACACAGCCCCTTTAATTGCTTCTTTGAGCCAATTTCAGCTATGCATTGTCCCACAGATCTCTGCTGACTTTAAGGAACACCTGACTGAAAATAATCCTGTGAGCGCTAGCTTTTTTTTTCTGTCAAGAGCCATGCTAATTGCTAAAAGTTCATCACATGTTTAAGTGAATATCTAAGGAAGAACTCCCTCTTATCCATGTGTGAAGATCAGTCCCCATGATGGTCAGCCCTGTGATTAAAGGGCTATTGTTCAAGGATGTAATTATGGTTTGGATTGTGCTTTACAAGCCTCTTAAAGTGTTAAAGTAGACCTTTATCTATCTCTTACCACTTTTGGAGATGGTAAATTACTGTAGCCAGCTGCTCTGGGGTAGACCAACTGAAACATGGCAACAGCCCCTCCAGTCACCACCAATCACTTACACACCTCATTCATACAGTGGTAACTGAAGTGTCTTGCCCAGTGACCCACCAACTGTATGCACAGGTTGGAATTGGTATCAACAGTCCGTACTATCTGAGTTATGTTGTGCCTGAGTGTGTTCACACTGACCACAGGCCACATTAAAATTGGGACTAAACCTTGACTAGCCTAGGACTAAACCAGAACTAGAACGGGACTAAACCAAGTCTACATCTGAACTAAAATGAGCTCAAACCAGGACTAAAGGACAAGTGTGAACGCACCTCAAGACTCATAGTAACTAGGCCATGATTATCTAAAATGTTCCAGTAGTTTATTATGTCAAAAGAAACAGAAAATGCACACCAAAATTCTTGTAGAGGTGCAAATGCAAGGAGTAGCAACACAAAAGTGAAAAAATGCAAGAACACTCAGATGGCTGATGACCAATAGCTTTTTTATTTTATATTTTATATTTTTTTGCTTTGGACCAGAGTACTGATACTGTGGTCCAAAGCAAGAAAAATATCTGACGAAGGCTTTTTTTGCCGAAATGTTATTTAAATTTTTTTTTTTAAGATTTTGGACATCGGCCATCTTTTTCACTTTTGAGTAGTTTAATATGTGACATCAAAATTGACTCATAATTTGTCTGTTTAATTAACCCAAGGCCCTGTTGAAATGAGTGATCATATCTCACATGTACTGTATGTTTGTATGTTATAAAGCAGATCACCATCATGTTTATTTGTGAAGCCTTGTTCATAAACAGGTTTATTCAGTGATAAAAGACTTAGTCTACAATGAGATGATATTCAGATAAAACAACTCTACATTCCTTAAAGAAATGGCACCAGAACACACAATAGTATAATGACACTTCAGAACAAGGACCAGGTTCTAACTGTGAAAACTAGAGTGAAAACAAGAAAAAAGAGTTGCATACTAATGTTAACAGATTTTTTTTAATTTGAAATTTGAAAATTAAAAAAGGAGTGATCAAAATTTGCAAGTGTTGTTTCCACTTTAACAACCACCTTAACTAATACTACCAAATCAAGTTTGGGGAAGGAACTGATTAAATATTATCACTGTTTTTTAATTAATTGATTGTTCCAAATGTTGGCTCTTGTTATTTGAGTTTACAAGACCCTTCTGTAACACTTAAAATAAATACCATACTTCAGATAACTGATGCATTTAGTCAAATACTGACCATCCATTGACTTAAAAGCTTGTCACTTTTAGGTTAAGTGTTAATTGTCACAGTCTTTTCAGATGCAAATGTATTTGGCTCGATTTGAAGTTGAAAGGTTTGCAGACTCCTGTTCTACTAACATCATTAATACTAAGACAGCCTTGTTAAGGGATAAGAAATTTACTGCTGACCACTTCTGCCATTGGTAGCATAACATTGATTGCTATTGCATTTCCAAATCAGTAGGCCTATTATATAATTGGTGAACTATTTTGTATTTATATATTCTATGATATATATCAAAAAGGCCGTTTTACAATTGTTAAAGCTGATATTACTATACTGTTTTATCAAATCATACAAGAATCTGTAGATTGTCACTAGTAAACGTACCTGCCCCCATCCCAGGACGTTTAAAGGATGTTATGATGTCATCTAATACGCAGTTGTAAAGGGTAGTCAGAAAGTACACATTGTTCAAAACTATTTAAGATAATTAATTGCACAAATGTCTACATTGTTTACATCTGTAATTAAAACAACTCGCAATTTTATTTTAGCTTTGTATTTCTACTACAAACTCTGAATCGATCAATGAAAATGTAATGTTTATAGCTGTGGACCAATCAGAGCGCGTCTCTTGACCATTTAAAAACCAAGTCCCGGCCTCAGCGCACGGATCTGGAGGGTGCGTTTGATTTGTGACTCGCGGTGCTGTTCGTTAGTCCGGACTCATACATCTGGATCATCGCAGGACAAAGAGGTGTAGAAATTAAACGCAACAGTGATAATAAAGCCGATGGACCAATGAACGATATTAGGCTTTCTTTTCCGTGTTTTACTGTTGAATATTGTGCACTCAGCGTCAAAAGTCATCAAAACAAACCAGTGTTACTTAAGTTTTATCTTTGTAAACCTTTCATACACCAAATTAATCTGCAATCTGCTTGTTGGCACCGCTTATGTATTGTTACGTAATATAAAACAAACCGAAATGGCAACGAGAACAGTCATTTTTGACGCGATAGTTATTGTTGAGTTGTCTTTATTGAGTTTCTTCACTGTTATAACTTTATTTCTTATCATTGCCCATTGGTTATCGATTATATTCTTTTCTACACTGAACAGATTCAAAGCTTGTATTTATTGCAAGGGTTTATGCTAATATTCTTTGTTTGATTCCCACTCAGATTTAGACTTAGACAAATTTTATTGATCTACAAGGGAAATTATTTGAACGCAGTAGCTCACACATCACAGTATAATATAATAACAAAGAGTAAAAATATAAATGGTAATCATAAATTCTAAATAAGTAGCAAAAAAAAAAAAAAAAAAAAAAAAAAAGAAAGCAAGAGACAGGTGTGAAATAAGACATAATTATGTAAATGTATATGTACCAGTCAAAATAAAATAAAAAATAAAATATAAAATCTCAGCTATATACAAGAGGTTTAAGTTAGTAAATTAATCCAAAACAGATATTTAAGAAAGAAATTTGAAATATTTAAGATAAATACTTTAATTCAAACTAAATCTCTAACAAAAACAGAGATCATTTTCAATCACTGAGTGAATAGTGGAAGCTTATTTATTACAAGGTTTACTTCTTAGTTTGTTTTGGGTGTTCAATCCAAGACAAATCGATAGCAATATTTAAGATTTTAAAAAATCATATTCTCTTTCGTCATATTATTCAAATTAAATCTCCAAATGAAAACAACAGAGATTCGGTTATATTTGGCACTGAGCTGAATTTCCCCAGAGAATCACCCCCTTTGTGAAGCGTAGGCCTTTCTGTGAGGTCTACTTTGTGCTGCGGAAGTAGACAGTGCACGGGTGTCTCCGCCTCCTGTCTCAACTCGATAACTCGATTGAGTTCAATGAGTGGAGAGTGGACATGAACTAAAGAATCAAAATAAACCGAAACAGCTGTCCTTTGGCGCGGGGAATACTACTCATTTTTGATCAGGAGCCTTCACAAAGATGCAACAATGACTCAGCCTCCGAGTGAGTTCATTCCTCCCCCGGAGTGCCCTGTGTTTGAGCCCAGTTGGGAGGAATTCTGCGATCCGTTTGCCTACATCAACAAAATACGACCCATTGCGGAGAAAACTGGCATCTGCAAAATCCGCCCGCCGCAGGTACGTGTTCGCCAAAGCTGCCCGTGTCCGTGTGTCTGGACGTGGCGCACTGTCTTTCGAAGTGGTCAATGTTAGAGCTGCAAAGTTGTGTTTTAGACAGGTTTCAACATGGCGGCGGTTTGCGGCTCAATCTTTGGCCTGGGATCCACTGTTGTGCTCCAACCACCAGCCAACACAAATGCAGCCAATAATGCCATTCAGGGACAGTTTGGCAAATCCTCCACCTCAGCATCCATCTGAAGCAACAATACACCCAACACACTTTATTTTACTGAAAATCAATTAAAATGCCAAGTTTTGTTCAGTCCATTCTTTTTAGGTTCAACATTTTACGCAAAGAAGACGCACGGAAATGGTCAACTCTTCGTGCCAACTTCCTTACCCAGCTTTCTTTGCACTTTAAAATACTTTGGAGGAGCAGTTTTGCCCACCTACTCAACCCTTTGAAGGATTTAGTCCGTGTTAGGTAACGCAGCCCGTGTAAATAGGGCCTTTTTAAGCCGCAGTTCTCCACAGCGCCGTCTGTACGTGCCCCACGAAACAGTATTTATGGAGACAACCGTGTAGCTCGTTGGATACTCAAATTTCACGTAGTTTGGTTCACTTTTAATAACATTTTTACGTTAAATTGACTTAATCGTGATTTTAACGCTCATGGAGTTGGAAAACAATAATTGCGCACTAAATTACGCACAAAATAACTTGCGTATTGTCTATCTAATTATTACTTTTATAGCATTGGGTGAATAGTTCCTCAAAGTATTGGCGTTTCTATTTCAGATTTTACGATGTTATGTTTTGGAGTAAACCAAGAAGGATAATAAATTGTCTCACGTAGCCCATTAATACTATGACGCGACCTTATTCTGAAATGTCGCGATGGGAGCGACTGTTCAAAGGGTGTGTCCACGATGCAAATCAGACAAAATTTACTATAAACTAAGATATTTCTCGGAAGAATATCAACTCTTACATTTTATATATGTATGCCCAAGTATTATATTATTTGGGTATTATTAACATACACCATAACGTGCACAGAGACGCGTAATCTTGCGTTAAATTCAATCCAATGGATAGTTTGTTGAAAAAGTAGTTGGATTCTTGCGCACTGTTTGCCCACATTGTCAGATAATGGACAGAGATAGGGACACAAAGGGAGCCTGGTGTACATACGGCACCAGAGGCCTGTCCTACACAAAAGACACGACTCACGAATGTTTACCAGTCCCTCTTCCTGCTCTGAAAAAGCGTTTTAATCTTTATTGTGCATACCACGAGTCTAACATTGCATTCTCAGTGATATATATTCATGTTTGGTTTTACTGTTTGAGTTGTACCCATGATATCTGAAAGTAGACATCATGCTTTAGGTCTTTTGGGAATAGATGGAGTATTGTAGACCTCACCATACACCCCAATGGAAGAGTAGTGGCATCAGTATCCTTAAGTGCTTAAAAAGTGCTATAATTCTGGCATCAATTTATCTTTTAAAGCAATACAAGAAATTGGTTTGAGAGGTTTGTGGTCACTGCTCAGTCTTGCACATTAATGGAGTTGTTTGTTGGCACTGGCAGAAATGAAAGCTTCAACTAAATGTTTAAATAGTCATTTATAAAGTCCTATTTAAAGTGTAGCAGCAGTAGTAGAAGTAGAATCTAGTTTCTATTGAATTGGTTGCACCTGAATTGCCTCATTAAAGTGCTTTATAGAGAAGGAATGTCAGTTAAAGTCCGTATTAAATTGTCCATTCTCACCGGACAGTATAGTTGCTAATAGAAGCCAATTGTATGTCTTTGTTTTTTACCGTTTTATTTTACAAACAAACTGGCTAATTGCTATATGGGACATGCACCATATGCAGTCTTGCAAATGTTTCATTCATAAGACAAAATGAAAGAAAAACATCGACTGTGGTTGTTAAGTACTTTTAATATTCTCTATCTAGTCCGTTCGTCTTGATCAGTATTGCCTGTATGTATTGTGAATGAAACTAGCTCTACAATTTCACATTAATATAAGCTCCAAATGTGCTCTATGGACTTTTTATTTTGAAATGTTTATGAGTTCAAACAATTAGCCTTAAGCCTAATTTTTTCTCCATTGTTTTTGCCTGAAGCCATGTTTAAATCAGTGGGCCTTTGTGTGAATGTAGGCTGCTGCTGCTGCTGTGTGGGTATTTTTAACACAAACCTTCACTTCATCTTTCATTTTCTTGTTTCTCTGGTCAGACAAAAGAGGAAGTAGCTGTCTTTAAATCTATCTAGAGCAGAGAGGTAGTACTTGGCTGCATTTAGTAAGAAACGTTAGTTCTGTTAGTAGTTTTAGACCAAATACTTTTACTCCTACTAGCGTAATATATTTTGAAGTATAACAGTGCTTTTATTTGAGTTATAGTTTTGGTTACTCTTCCCAGTGTAAGTCTTTGATAATATGACATGATTTGAACATTTGTGATTCTTGCACTCCTCCTCCAGATCAGAGACGGCTCTAGCTATAGACACTTCAAACCTACTACCAAATACAAATACACATCTTTTTATTTGCCCTAACTTTTGAGTCAGCCCACCCAAATTCAGCTGCCTAGAACCAGGCCTGCTTCAGTTATGACTTAGTTTCTCATTTTTGTGTCTGTCCTTGAAAATGTATGTATTTTAAGGTTAAAGTTTTGTAATCACTCTTTGTAGTCTTTTATAACTACTGTTCTTCTACTATTTTGGCCACCATATCCACCTCTTCTCTCTAGTTTTACATTGCTAAATGTAGCAGGAGCAGATGCAAATTCAACAGGCTCACCAGGCTTAAACCTTCTGAATAAGCGACACGGTGAGCCCCATTTTAAATCTCTCTCCCAATCTAGTCTAAAGGTATCTAGACAACATATTTCTTGTACTATTTAAAACATATACATATTACTGATGAAGAAAAGAGGTAGAGCACTTTACTGGGTCATAAAAGAGTTAAAACATAGCAGTACAAATGCTCTACAAGGTTTAAACAACTAGTTTCTGTTTAAAAAAAAATATACATACTACTGTTTAATGTTGGATAGGGCTGAACCAATTTGGAAAAAATATTGAATTATGATCTTTCTAATGAGCATTGCGATTAAAAGTCCTGTATTATACAAATTGTGAGCTTTAAATCATGTTATAATCTTGTTACCTCGTCATAAACATACATGGAGTTGTGTTTTATTTCATTAACACATGTCTGAGTAATCCTTTATTATTAGGCTGCCCACATCACCAAAGCACAAAATGCTCTGTTCCATCTTAACATGAAAACTACAATTTCATGACAGCTCCTTTTTACCTTTTGTTTATTAGAGACTGGCAATTCTAGATCTGAAATCATCTGAATGATTCTAGTGAAGGTGTGTGGAGTGTGTGGAACGCAGTTGAGTACTTCTTGTTTTTCTGTATTAAACATGTGTGAATGAAACAAAACATAACCTCAGGTATGTTTTTGGCGAGGAAACAATATAATAACATAGATGAGAAAATAGGAGTGTAATATGGGCCCTTTTAATTTTAATTGCCACCCGTCTACAACCAATAAAGAACCGCTAAAGTCTGTGAAACAAATGCCCCTCGGGACCTAATAAAGCACTGAAGTTGAGGAGTGCAATAATCCACATAATAGTTCCCATGGTACTCATAATACGGTTGTCAATAGTATCAAAAATCTGATTCTAATCAATACTAAAAGTAGTATCAAAACTAGATACTCATTGAGCAGATATCGATACAAAAAACCTTTCTTGAATAGCTTTAGAATGATCTGGAGCTGCATCAGAACAAGTATAAGAGCACATAGACTAGTATACTCCCATGGACCACTATGGAACTGACCTGAACGACTGGTAATATTTTTTAAAAAAGGACTATTATTTAATGTTGAGAAGAATGTTTTTTTTGTTTTGGTTTTTTTTATATATCATCATGGTATCAGAATCTGTATTTCCTGTAATTCCACATTTCAGCTTGTTTTGTTCTCATAGATCACAAAGCCATACCCCATATATCGTCCTGTTACACCCCTAGTTCAAATAAGACTGATTTAAAGGTACAATATGTTTTTTTTTTTTTTTCGCAGATTGTTCTCCCGTCACTTATCTTTGCCAGGGATGTTTTTGTTTGGTAGCACATTCCACAGTATGGTTTTAAACATGGGTGACTTTTCCAGGCCAAGTTACAGGTCAGAGGCAACCCCCACTCACAGTGAGGATGTGTGTTTTTCAAGCAATAAAAAGACCTGATTTAAAGAATGCCAGATAAGTTTGCTACCATATTGTGGGACATCATAGACACAAGCAGACGGCAAAACTTGCATAGTCCAGCTACACAGCCATGTTCTGTCCGTTTTAAGGCTTATATTGTTACACACAACTGACAGAACTATTTAAACATAATACATTATTTTTTTTAAGTTCAGGCCCAGAATTACTCAACAGAGGCACAACTGTTACCAGTCCCAAACCCAAAAACCCAAATAAAGTAAAAAAGTATGTCAAAATGCACTGGGGTAAACCCAGGAAACTTATTCAAATAATCTTCTGTCTGAGAGTAACAGCTGAACACAATGTTTTTTTTGTTTTTTGTTTTATTTAAATTTAAAAGAGTTGAAATGTTGTCTCAGGCTGGTTGCAGTTTCCATTTCCTGTTCTGAATTTGCATTGTGGTTTGTTCAGATCTCAGATATCAGAGCAACCAAGATGTCAACAAGTGGGCGCAGCATTGGTCTAATATTTATGGCAGGCACATTATTGAGTTATTATATGAAGTATATTATTATAAAAATCTGCTATAAGAGCGGATTAAAAGTGAAAAAAAAATACAGCAGTGTAAGAGTGATATTTTAATAACTCAGTTTGTTTTGCTAATTTGATTGCAATTTCATATGAGCCTGATACCTAAACCTCAAATTAATACATTTAAAATTGTGTTTCAGATCATTTCTGTTGGACTGATAAAATGTCATCCCCGTATAGTCTAAAATATTGTTTTGGACATTGTTTTGACAAGCTGGTAAGACTGGTAAAAGTATATGTTATGACTCAGCAATGAAAAAGTGAGGTTGCCTTACAAAAAATTATCTTCCAAAACTATCTTAAACGGGCCGGTCAGAGTCAACCAAAGGTCTGTCTGTGGCTCGGGAGCTGTACAATGCCCAATGCCCAGGTCTGGTTTCTGGTTCAAATGCTACTACTTGTTATTATTTAGCTCTGTATACAATGAGTCCACAGTTTTTTGAGAAGAGCACAATCTAATCATTTTCAGAGTAGGATTTGGCCTTGACACTACACTCAAGAACTCCTTCAACCCTTTTACACAGAAAGAGGAATGTCAAATATTTCGGTCTAATTATAACGTCAAGTTTCAGAGGCACGCATAGGTCATAGTTAAGAGTAGTAATAATCCTAATAAGTAGTTTATTCTTAAAACTATTGTATGCAATGCGAAAAAGTGGTTAGCTTTAGCCTCAGTTGGTTGTCAGTTCAATTCTCTGGTTCATCTTTGGATGTCAGGTGCATATCCTCCCTGTGTACCGTGGAAGAGGGGTTAGCTTTAGCCTCAGTTGGTTGTCGATTCAATTCTCGGGTTAATCTTTGGCTGTAGTGTGCATCTCCTCCCTGTGTATTGTGGCAGAGTGGTTAGCTTTAGCCTCAGTTGTGGGTTCAATTCACAGGACAGTCTTTGGCTGGGGCACGCATGTCCTCCCTGTGTTAGTGTGGTCTCAGGAAGGGGGTTGTGGGTTAGACTCCGGATCTCTTTGAACTAATGAGAAAAACACATTGCAATTTGCTTTGTTTTGGTCACACATTTCTTGCTCCCTGTAGAGACACACACTTTAGTTTGCTCACTGCATTCTTCCACATTTTGCTGTAAAAATAAATAACACCCTTCACATAATTCAATGTAGTTCCGGGTATTAGTTTCGTGATACTAAAAAAAACCTTGATTTTTCTACTAAGGAATAGCCTCTATAGTCGGTACTGATTATGTTAGCACGATGGTACTTACAAAGGCAGTAGTACATTGTTTTATATTACCATGTGGCCTTAAACCTGCGTAATCCCTCAGTGGTCCAGGTAGGTTCAATAGTGGTACTTGTTTATGTCTTCTTATACTTTTTTAACATTGATACCTGCTCAAATGAGTATTGGATAATAGTTTTAGTATCGCTTCGTATATGAATTTCAGTACTTTTGACGGCCCTAGTTTAATACAGTTATGGTAGGCCTATCATAACAAATTTTGAAGTACGATATATTGCTGAAGAAAATGGACAAGAAACTTTGAGTGTTCATACCTGAGGTCATTTGAGTTAAACATTAGCAAACTCCTCACTTCCTGCTGGTTTGAGCTGCTGCGTTGTAAATGTCTCAGGTGTCTAAAACTGAGTTAAAAAGATAATAAACACATTGCTTTAAAGTGCACTGTGTAACTTTTCTAATGGAGAGTACGCCGCCTGCTTCTTTTTTTCCATGGAGATGATATTGCTTTGACTCTTGTATCTCGCATTTATTCAATTACAGGTGTTCTTTTTGCAAGAGTAATGGCTTGAAAAACATGCACTTTGTTTGGTAGTGTCACCTCATTTCCATGGAGATACATCATTTTAATTAAAGCTATAATATATCAAGAGGGGGACCAGAAAAGTTACACAATGCACTTTTTAATAAATGTACAAGTGCAGTTTCAAAACATAATATTTTCTTATGCTTTACTTGACTGAATACTTTGTCAACCTGCTGATCTATGCAGATTTTTTTTCCTGTATACTATTTGGAAACTTACAACAGATATGCATATAAAACGTCTAAGCCAATGCTGTATGATATGTTGTAAATTAAAAAACTAGTAGTTAGCACACATTGACTACTTTTACCAATGGTAAAAAGTAAAAATATAGCAGCAGGACTTTATTTATAGAATGTAATTTGTAACAACAAATCAAGGCACTTTATTTTATATTTGTATAATTTTTATTATTGGTACTTGTTCAAATGAGTATCTATTTTCGATATTATTTATAGTGTAGATTAGTATCCGATTTTTCATACTTTTGACAACCCTAACCAGGACCAGACTACATCAAGACTAAATTGCCCTCAAACCAGGAGTGTGAACGCAACAAATGTCACAGAGGCCCACACTGCCTCTGTGACATTTGTTTTTGGTGTTGACATAGGCTTCTGTTTAAACTTTCCAAATGGTCTTTTTCAGGAATGGCAGCCTCCTTTCGCCTGCGATGTCGACCGACTCAAGTTCACACCGAGAATCCAGCGACTCAACGAGCTCGAGGTATAACACTCAAATGGACAATGTGTTTGGGGCTGATACTGAGATGGGCAAAATTTTTCATATTATTAAAAAAAAAAAACTAGATATATTGAGTTGATATTTTGTTTTAAGCTGCTCTAGTCCCTGTATGCCCATGTGCCATTCATTCCCAGGTTGTTTGTTATAAATGAACATAGCTAACCTGCTAGCTGCAGCATTCCAAATGGGAAATTGGCATGGCCACACTTCCGGCTCCATTAACTCCAGCTCCAGTTCAGTTTCTATTAAAAACTCGAACTTCTACTCTGAGCCCCATCATTTTGGTCTTTGAAATGTTCATATTAACCTGCTCTACATGATTCTGGGGGTTTTATTTTCAATACAGCATATGAGAGAATCAGTACTTCAGAATACCATTACTCAAGTACAAGTAAAATGTATGATGTGATAAAACTATTCTTAAAAGTATAACTGAGTAAATGTAACTCACTGCTGTCCCCTCTGGTTGCAGGCTCAAACCAGAGTCAAACTGAACTTCTTGGATCAAATCGCAAAGTTTTGGGAACTCCAAGGCTCGACCTTGAAGATTCCTCATGTGGAGAGGAAGATATTGGACCTGTACCAACTCAACAAGGTCAGAATCACACATACACATTCATGTATTTTACTGTATCACATTTAAACACTACTGCACAATCTGGCAACATGGAACGTTTTTGCCTTTTTTCCTCAGACAATATTGAACCGTCTAGGGCTAAAGAAATAAATCATTCATTTTTATAGTTTCACATCATAAATCATAAACCATATCTGTCTCCATGGAGAATGGAGAAAGTATTGCTTTCACTATCACTGTCTAGAGGTGACATGCTACTAGAAAGTAACCCACTGTTGCTTTAACTAATAGAAATCTTGTTTCATATATATTTTTTCATC